CGCTCTTCTATAATGGAAAATTGCTACAGAAGGTTAGAGCCATTAAATCATTCTCCACATTGCCAGTAAGATTTTTATGCTTCCACCTCCCCCATGCAAGAAATGAGCAACACGAAAGAGGATTTGACTGTCTGTTGCCAACAAAACTAAGCCTTCATTATGGGGCACCACTTCCACAAACAGCAAAGCAGAACCATTACACTTAAAACGAATTGGCCTACTTGCTACTTCAGTGTTTCTGTAACTGTAAGAAAGAAAAATACAGTATTTGTATTGAAGCCTGTGTGCATCATCTCCATCCGGTATGGCTGACATTCTTACAAGGAACAGAAGCTGAAATTTAAAAACTCTGTTTCAAACAACTTCTTGGGAAAATGTGAGACCTTATTCACCTTTCAAGACTGGAAAGGGAGGGGAGAAAAAAAAAGGGGGGGGGGGAAGAAAAGAAAAAGACTTAAGAAGGAAAACTAAACCCAGGTGGGGAAGGTGTTTCAGCTTTCTTCAAAAAGAGTAACTTCGTGATGTTTCAACTGAATTTTAAGATAGACAGCAAGATACAGATTATAGTCTAATCAAAATATGTTCTGAGAACAATTCCATCAAGATTCTGTTTCATACCCTTCCCCCCTGGCTTCTCCTATGCAAAACCCATCTATTATTTCAACTCGGGCTCCCAGGTAAGGAAGCAGAGCTTCGCAGCCATGCTTTATCACAAGCTTACAGACAAAGCTCTGTCTTCTGACCAAAGCACTAAAACAAACAGAAGAATTTCAGCTTTATTAATAGCATCAAGTTTCAACAGCTTTCTGGAAGCTAAACTGTTTAAACCAACTGCTAGTGCTCTGCATCCAGAAGCTCTAAGTGCCCAGGCATAAACATCCAGGCAAGACAGGTGACAACCTGATGGCAGGAACATATTCCAAGCTACCCCATCACAAACCTCTCCCCACCGATGGATTTGTGACTACAGTGCAAACAGGTGTGTCAAGTTTCAAAAATGCTTCCGAGACTCACCTAACTTACAAGTCAACAGCTACGACTCACCTACCTGAGGACCGTCCTTCAGCGTAGCAGCCGCAGCAAAGGATGGGTTTCCCTGCAGCCTCTGCCATTAGCGGAGGCCACAGATAGTGTGTCCTGTCATATTTCGCGCTAGGGCAATTAGTTGATGGAACTGCATCCTTCTGGTGGTAGGCCTGGGAATGGGCTGAGGAACAGGCCCCATTTGGTTCTTGATGTGCCCAGGTCTCCCCATATTGCTGACAGCTTCCCCTAGCTGATAAGGGGTCTGTTAGGGCACAGAAGAGGTAGTGAAGGAAGAAGGTCAAAACTTAACCCAGTAAGGACTGTGTGAAGAAGGATACGGACTAAGACCTCCCTTTCCATATAGAAGTATGAAAAGATCACAGGCACGACACAAGCTTAAGCACAGTGACAAAACTGCATAGGCATTTCATGATTGAGGAGAGACTGATTTTCCAGAGTCAGAACAGGACACAGGAATTTGCTCAGCAGGTAGACAAGTGAATCTGAAGGCTGCATTTCGATCACTTTCACTGGAAATCAACACAAGAGTAAAACTAGTGATCTCATCTAAAGAACCAGCTACAGCACGCTGCTACTGAATGAGAAGATTGAGAAGAATCCCAACATTGCCGAAACCACTTTATCTCGATTGAACTCATCAACTGTAAAAAATCAAAAGTGACACTCGTAAATTGGAGAAAGTTCTTGGAAAGCAGGGCACAAATACCTCTCACCCTGCATCTGCTACTCACAATTACAACCCGTGTACCTAGTGAGAACATTCCTATACAGTCACCCTTTCAACAGCAGGGAAGAGCAAATGTACACAACATTATCTGTCCATAATAAAACACGTGAAGTACAGAATACCAACATCTAGCCCAGAAATCATACAATTTTGTTTCCAGAGCAGCCCTTCTATTCGTCTTCGTCTGGCACTCCTTGGTGTTGAGAGCGATGCTACACATCCGACACTCCTCAAGACCCTGAATGCTACACATCTGACACTCCTCATGTAAAATCTGGATTCTGCCAGTATCAACCCTCTACAGAAAACAGCTATGGGGAATCCATCCCCCCAGGGACTTCCTGCATTACTGTTCCCCTCCTCAGCCCACAGCAGCTCACGTGCACGCCAAAGAGGATCCAGCGCTATGGTGGGTGCATCTAATGAAAGCAGAGCACCTATTTTACCAGCACTGAGCGATTTCTTTGCTATGTTTCCGCTCTTGTTCACATGATTTTAGTTCTCTAGAATATCAGGGAATGTGTAAGAGGTATACGCTACAGTTCTAAGATTTTTTGTTGTTGTTGTTGTTGTTGTTGTTCTCTTAATTCTTATTCAATAGACTTACTAGAAACCCTTCTTGGTTATTATTTTTTCTTTTTCCACAGCACGTGAAGAAATATCATTTCTTAGAGTTAAAAGCTGACAGCTTACAGTCTGGTAAGAAAAAACATAAATGGAGCTGGGTAAAGAAAGAGATTATTTTCAAAAAGTCTATCAAGCTATTAGATGGGCAGGTCAAGAATCTGACTTCAAGGACTGCAGTCTGACAGCGTTACACCACTTCGTGAGCCCTTAGCTGTGAGACTACGAAGCCCACGGATGAGGTTTTGCTGAAACATTTTCTCCAGTGAGATTCATGCTCACAGTTTCAGGCACAAGCGAATTGCAATTTACACTAGTGGAATAAATCTGCAGTTTACTAATAAAGGTCCCATGCTGTGAAGTCTCTAAACTCAAACTAATGCTTTTGCCACTCTGCCTTCTAAATCCTGAATCATCAGAAAAGCACAGTATTTTATAAAAACAGACTTTCATGCTATAGCTAACAGCAACTGAGCAACAAGATATTAAATAGGACCATCTGCTGAATGATCTCTGCATAAACCTTGAGACATTACACTGACATGCAGTTTACAGTCTCGTTTTGATATCCACCACATGATCCTCCAAGTACACAGAAGGATGGAGAGCAACCCAGTTGCACCTGAGCAGTTACTGCTGAGAGAGAAACTCACACAAAAACCTCATGGCAAGAACCCTTCAGAAGCTGAGAAGGATTTACTTAAGCATGTTAGTTGTCAGTATTCAAAAGTTAGCCTCAACTTACAGCTCAAAGCATGCTTCCCGCTATGCTGGAAAACAAATACAACAAAAACAATACAGCAAAACAGCAGCGCTGCTCCTAAAATGAGCCATTTAAGTGAGCCACTCTGGCTCTGACTACAAACACTAGTGCTTATATGCAAGTGTGCTATAAACAAAACCAGAGAGGTACCTGAAAAGGTTCTGTCTCTTCACAAAAGCAGCATTTCTACGGCTGACCCCTGGACCTGCTCTCTGCCCACCATGAGATTTCTTCCAGGCATGAACAGAAGAGCCACAAGGCACAGAAATGCCCTTTCCAAGGGCACACTACGATCAAAGTCACAAAGAGGCCTAGAGCAAATGCACACTGATCTCTTTAAGTACCCGCTATCATCTTCGTTACAATAGGGATCATAAATTACAGCTAAGCATCAGAACCAGAAGTAGCGAGGTTGTAGTTAAGAGGATTTGGTTTTGTCAGGTTTTTGATCTGTTTTAGCAAAAGCGTCAAGTTGGCAAGAAGAGTTGGATCAGCCAAAAAAAACCAACTGCGAATTATTTTAATTGGCGTTGCACAGCACATAGCATATTCAGAGATAAATCTATGAACCTCCCGAGCAGACACGCACCTTCCCGCATAAGAACCAACACTTCCAAGAGGCAATGCCTGCAAGCAGGCAGCTCTCTCTGCAGGGAAGTGCAATTCATGAATGAGCTCCCGGAGTAGCGAGCAGCCCAGCGTCTCTTAGGAGGTCTGAAATCAATTTACTGCTGCACTGGGGTCAAGAGGATTTTATGAGAGATGCTTTGCCATTCCCCGTTCCAAAGGAAGGGCCACCCGCACCTCTCCGAAACTCCTTGCGAGATGACACACACACCGAGGGCTTGGCACGCTGGCTCGTTTTAAGTTCTGAAGGTGCCGCGGATGCTTCTGGAAACTAAATTTCAGGTTGTGTAGCTAACTTATACCCGATGACACTAAAACACGCTGGCGTACACCTCTCTGTGCCCTGTCCTCCTGGAGCGTCCGACTCGCCCGGCCGGCCGAAGGAGTCGCCTGGGCGAAGGCGGGAGGACCC